GAGATTGTAGGTGAAGAGAATTACTATATAAAGGAGACGCTAACACTACTAAAAGCACGTTCACCAATCTTCTTGTATGGCTACATCTCCCTTTTAATAATCCCAGTGAATGTTGTTAAGAAACTGTAAGCAATTCAGTGTATATTTTTCTGGGGTGACTCAAAGAGGACAAGGAAATACCACTTGTTGGATGAGAGATGATTAAAAGTTGGTTAACTCAAGAGGATTGGGTTTGAGATCTGTAGTTGAGATGAATCAGACACTTTGAGGGAAGTAGGTATAGCGATTTATAAATGAAAGGGGTATGATATGGAAAAGGGTTATAGAGGCAAAATTTGGTATGATGGATAGAAGGAGGTACTCCGGAGTTTTGGTTAGATCGTATGAAAAACGATTGTAGAAAAAGATATACATGGGAAGGGGATAAATTTTGGGAATGTATCAAATGGAGAATTGGTAATGAGGAGAGAATTGGATTCTGGACGGATGTTTGGATTGAAGATCTCTGCATGCCTCTCCACCTTGATTACTGTGATACTGCTTGAACTCAGTTAATCGAGCATTAGCTCTTTTTTATGTGTTTTGCATTCTCTATCCTTTTTTTAGCAAAAATAAGAAATTTTAGAAAAAGTAATTTATGTTGCATCTTTAAACCCCAATTTGTCATAAGCAAGCCTCAGGTTTACAAAAAAAGTAACTTTCGAAGAACATCCAAACAAAGTGATAATTTGGTCTTTTACCTTCTGTTTATGTTAACCAGATTCTTTCTTATATTAATTTTTAGTTTTAAATTTCCTTTTTGGGTGGAGGGGCTTTACAATGAGTTCCTGAATATTTGGCTTACTTAAAATGAAGTACAATTATAGGTGTCCTGTACTGCATTTGCTACTGTCTTTATGAATATATATTGTGTCTTGTGTACAAACAGACTATTGACTCCTTTCACCTTGATAATTTTACTCAAAGTTCTGGCAATTTATTTGATAAATTGTTTCTCAGAACACAATAATGATAGAAATTATTTTTTCAAATTTTTAACTATATTTTTTTTCTCTTTGTTGTAACTTCCAGGTCAGAAGGGCCTTGAAATTGTTAAAGGTATCACTTACCTGTGGCCGATATCCTAGGGCTTATAAAATTTTTGGCATATCAGATCAGCCATTAAGCGAACTAACGTAAGTTGTTTCTATGTTCTACTTCTTGATTTATGTGTGCATTTAATCAGTTAGAGCATGTATCTCATTCGGGTATTTGGTAGGACATCTTTTGGTTAAACAAGGTTATAAGGCAATGGTGCTTGAGTTTGAAAAGAAGAGCTTTAGAGTAGCTTTTCTTTTTTCACTTATAAGCCATTGGCTTTTTTAAGCTCAACTACATATTCTATTTCAAAGTTACCTTGATTTAATGTGCAATTTAAAAACCAATATCCTTATAGGCACATTTTTAATTGAATATTCTCTCTCTTTAAACCCTAATAAAAGTATGTGAAAAGTGAAATCAAAGAAGTCTGAGGATATTCTAGTTTTACTCATTTGTTTCCCCATCAAGATACAAGTCTTTAACCTCTAGAATTATGAAGCTAAAAGCTCGTGAAAAAATCTGTGAAGAATGAAATGAAAGAAGTGGAAGTGTCAAGATATTTTGAAATGAGCTCTTGATTATGACTTAGTTAAGAAAGAATTAGAATGAGGTGAGAAGACAATACAGAAAGATGAGTCTGCTGTTCAGATAATTTTTACTTAAGTTGGGTGCATGGTAGAAATCTTTAGCTTTGCTTCTTTTCATTTGTTAATTGTTACTTAAAATTGTTGAGTCTGCTGTTCAGATAATTGTTTTACCTTAGTTATGTAAAAGTCAAGGTGCTGGTTTAGTTGGAGTCCTTGAGTCAGTTTTCTAACTCTTGTTTAATTGAGAGGGTTTTAAGAAGACGTACAAGCTTCAAAATATGCTTGTCCTGGTTAATATATGCTCTACTTAAGAGCATTGTTACTTTAGTTCTTTATACTTAAAAACATGGTTTAAATGATTTTCTTTATTGGTTTTACTTCTAAATCCTTTTTCTTTTTCTAGGATTTTTATTGACATTTTTTTTCTTGCTTTTTTCTAGGTTTTATCTTGATGAAGAGAGGCCAAATATGTCCGTGGTCCAATATTTTTATGAAAAATACAAAACTAAGCTCAAATTTACTTCTTTGCCTGCAATTCAAGCTGGAAGTGTATCAAGTCCTGCATTTCTGCCTATGGAGGTTTTCCTATTGAGACAAAATTTATCATCTGAATTTTTTTCTCATTCTCTCTTTACATCGGTTTTCCTTTATTTTAGGTTTGCCAAATTGCTGATAGACAGAGATATACAAAGAAGTTAAACGCTAGACAGATAACTAACCTGTTAAGAGCAACCTGTCGGCGTCCTAATCAACGAGAAGATAATATTAAAGAGGTATATGCTTGTTCAAAAGTTTGCCAATATGGTTGATTGTTATGGTTTTGACGATTACCTTCTCATTTACTATGTAATTCAGCTAAAATTGTGTTTTTGGATTGAACTAAGATTGCTCAATCAGTTAAGTTCAGTGATGCGCTTGTAACGACTGAGTTTGGAATTCATGTGGGACGGGAACTTGCTAAGGTTGAAGCTCGAGTTCTGCGCTCACCAACGGTAGTTATTGTTACTTTTGTGACTACTAGGGTTGTTATGCATCTCCATAATTAAATATTATCTCAATGTTGATTGCTGCAGCTGAAATATCACGATACTGGGGTCCAGTCAAGGGTTGATCCCCGTTTAGGTCAATGGAATATGATTAACAAGGTAAAATTAATGGTTTTTTGATTGTCTTACTGATGGATATGTGCAAATCTTATGGCATGGTTTAGCATCAGTTGTTTTTTGACAAACTAATTAAATAATGTTATGAACATTCTAGATCTTCAGTTGTTAAAGCATTGTGGTCCTGTCCAAAAACCAAATATAAATAGGAAATAGCATGAAACAAAAGGCTTTCTTACTCCATTCTGATCTATGTTGGTTAAGTTCAGCGGCCTTGTTTGACTACTGAAATGGTTTAATGTCATGTTGGTTGCAGAAAATGGTCAATGGTGGGAGGGTTGAGTTCTGGACATGTGTGAACTTCTCTGAACAGGTGGATAGAAATTTGCCCTTCCAATTCTGTAGACAATTGATTGAAATGTGTAACAGCAAGGGAATGGTATGGCTCCCATCTTTCCCATCTACAAAATTTCTGTGTGGTTCATAATCTAGTATCTAGAATGATTCTTTGTTTTCCTCAAATTTTTTCAAGGAATTCAACCCAAACCCACTACTTCCTATATGCTCATATAAACCAACTGAGATTGAGAGGGTTCTTGTGGACATTTACAATCAATCGATGGAAAAACTTCAAAACATGAAGGGGAAACAACTTCAGTTATTGATTGTAATTTTACCCGATGTGACTGACTCATATGGTAAGCAAAATAACATAGATTCAATTGAAATTATATCTTCCTTATCTGAAAAATTTGGTTGTTTTCAGGAAAAATTAAAAGAGTGTGTGAAACAGAATTAGGAATTGTCTCACAATGCTGTCAACCTGGACAAGCAAAGAAACTCAGCAAGCAATACTTTGAAAATATCGCTCTCAAGATAAATGTGAAGGTTTGTGGTATAGTTCTCTCTGGTTGTGTTACTGTCATCTTGTTTGTTGATCTAACTTGGGGCTTACCAATTGTTAGGCTGGGGGACGAAACACTGTATTAGATGATGCTATTGAGGGAAGAATTCCTTTTCTTACTGATCGTCCTACCATCATTCTTGGAGCTGATGTGACCCACCCACAACCTGGCAATGATTCTTTTCCTTCAATAGCAGCAGTAAGTTAACTTGTTGGCTGTTTCCTATATCTCATTCTCAGCTTCCTCATTTCTTTGTATTAAAATTTTGAACTGCACAGGTGGTGGCTTCCATGGACTGGCCTGAAGCAACCAAGTATCGAGGAATTGTATCTGCTCAGTCACACCGAGAAGAAATTATACAAGATCTTTATAAAATAATTCACGATCCTGAAAGAGGTCGTGTCCATGCAGAATGATCAGGTGAGGAAGTTACTATTATGTTATTAGTATCTCAATTAGTTGTGTTTGTTTACTGATCCTTTAGCTTTGTAGGA